GGACTTCACTTTAAGGCCCTTAGACTTTCACTATCAGCCTCCTCAAGAACTTCCCAACTTATGCCACTGCCCAGCCCCAAAGCCACTCCTACATTTTAGGGTTTTGTACCCCAGCATATCACTTCCAAGTATCAAAATGTGTGTTTGTTTTCTATTGCTATGTAGTGAAATACCCACAAAATGTAATGGCTTAAAGCAAAAATGAATTTGGTTTCTGTGGGGCAGGAATTCAGGGGTAGCTTAATTGAGCACTTCTTGCTTAGTGTCTCATGGGGTCTGGTGAGGTTGCAGCTGAGATGTGGCTGGGGCTGCAGTCATCTGAAGGCTGGACTTTTAAGGTGACTCACTCGTGTGGTGGGCAAGTTGTTGCTGGCTGCTGGCAGAAGGCCTCAGCTCTCCCCACATGGGTCTTTTCACTGTCTTCATGACATGGCAGCTGGCTCCTCTCAGAGCAAGTGATGCTAAAGCATAAGTGGAATCCGCAACCATTACCCCGCCACACTGTATGGGTCACACAGACCATCTCTGAGTCCTTGTGGTAGGAGGCAACACAAGGGTGTGAATTCCAGAAGGTGAACATCATTGGGGACCATCTTGAAGGCCGTTATGGGCTGAACTGTGACCCCCGAACACTCATATGTTGAAGTCCTAACCTCCAGTACATCAGAATGGGACTATATTTGAAGATAGAGTTTTTAAAGAGGTGACTAAATTAAATTTAGGTCATCTGGGAACTAATCCAATATGACTGGTGACTTTATATAAGAAGAGGAAATTGGGACAGAGCTACACACAGAAGGAAGACCACGAGAAGACACAGGAAGAGGGCGGCCACCAGCAAACCAAGTAGAGAGGCCTCAGGACGAACCAAACCTGCTAACTTCTAGCCTCCAGAACTGAGAGGAGATACATTTCTGTTGTTTAGCCACCCCGTTCCTGGTACTTGTTAGGACAGCTCTAGCAAACCAATACAAAGTCTGGTAATCACAACTAGGAAATAAAAGGGAAGACGCATAAGACTAATGACCAAGCCAGCTGTGAGGCCATCTTCTAAAAGTGACATCTTACTGCCATGCAGGTTCAAACCAAGACAGATCTGGTGTCTTATCTTGAGGATGCTGACCCAAAGCTATCTCTGATACATCTAGCAAGTCAGACCCCTCAGAACTTATGCCTCATCTAGTGGAAGAGAAATTGAAAGGTGGATATGAAAGTGATTGTTCATCATTGGTCCTAAATGTACACCAGCTTCTTAACACAGAAGGCAGTGAGCTTCCCGCAGACCTGGGCATGAACTTCAGGAAGCAGGGCCTCAGAAAGTTCCCCTGGCTGGGCATCTAATGTGACACGTCATTTCCTGCTGCAGTTCCATTTTTCTGGGTGGAATCCTGGGATCCTACTATTTCCTTAATAAGAGAATAAGAAAACCACCCAATGGGCCTGAAAGGCTGGGCGAAGGCCATCCCAAGGCCAAGTGTGGGCAGGTCTGGACTTTTCAGCCAAAGATCAAGGTGCCAGATGCTCCCACTGCCAAAACAGTCACATAAGAGCATCCAGCCTAATTATCTAAGTAAGCACAGGTTGCTAAGAGCGATTAACTTCAGTTTCAGTGTTAAACCGTAGCCAAAAAAATAAAAATTAAATGGTTGAATATCTTGTTATCACATGTATTGGGGTAGAGGGTAGTTTGCCAGGAAGAGAGGGTGCAAACAAAATCAGCCTGGGAGGGAAATAATCACTTAAAAAAAAAAGAAAATCCTACAAATGATTCAGAGCTCAGTGTCAACAAGGATATGGTCAGACCTGAATTACCTTGGGCCTCTTGCTGAAAACACGTTTACTGTGGGATCTTTTCACTCATCAGGATAAATTCTTTCACTCTCAGGGTAACTTAAGAGTGAAAAGTGTGCCTCTGTAAATCATGCTGGTCACAAGACCTCCTGGGTCAGAGAGGGCTGTGGTCTTATAAATGGGAGTCGTTTGTTGTTGTTGTTTTGTTGTTGTTGTTTTATGCCTCTGTTAGCCTTAAAGAATACGGTCAGGCACATCCTAAGAAAACCTAAGATTTCTAAGGCACTCTTATATAATTCTGGTAGGAATATGGATTGGTATAACTTTTCTGGATAACAGTTTGGCAGGATGTATCAAAAGCCTTAATATTTTGAATATCCCTTGACAAAGCAATTCTACTTCCAAGAATTCTTATGGAAACCATCATAATTGTGTGCAAATATTTAGCTCTAAGGATGTTGCAATTATAGAATTGTTTATAATATTAAAAAACGGAAGTCATCTGAATGTCTGCCAATAGGGTATTGTAAATAGAGCTGGTACATCCATAAAACGAAAACTATGCAGCTCTTTAAAATGACACTTATGTGAAAATTTTCACAAGTATATTAATAAACAGGGAAAAAGTAGCATACAAAGTCATATGTATATGATTCCATTGAGGGAGAAGAACATTGACACATAGAAAAGTGACTAGAAGGATGTTTTATAAAGTTTAACTTTTTTTTTTTTCCTTGATGGTGGGATTTACTGGGAATTTTTTCTTTTCCTAGCTTTGGCTTATCTGTGCTTTGCAAGTTTTTAGCTACAAGCATGTATTTATTTTGTAACAGAAAGAACAGTAACAGTTACGTTTTAAAACATCAGACTTCTAGAAATAATTTTATAATTCAGGCTGTTACTTCTTCCCAATGCAGGTACTTACACAGAAATCATACACCCCCACAGTCAGATCTCTTGAGATTTAAGGGTGTTTTTTTTTCTTCAATTGATAAATGTGCTCAGCTAAGGACTCCAAGTAATAACAAGACCCCTAAAGACAGCAAAAAGAGCTGCCGTCAACACTGCGCATCAACAAAGCAATATAAAAATAAACAGGAGGACAGTTCAAAGGATATGTCTTTACTCCTAGATAAACTTTTCATGGCTCTTGGGGCAAACTGAGTTATACAAAATAATAGTTTATTATTACATTTACAAAAGAAAAAGTTACATTTCTGGAAAAAAATTGCCTCAGAGATTCTCGTATTCAAAAACTGTCTTCTGTTTAGACATTAATTTTATTTCACTTTTAAATAAAGCTCATTTTGTGCTGATTCAAGTCAAAACAATGTAAATTAACACAATCAATAGGGAAAAGAAAAAAGAAAAAAAAGAACCACCCCTTTTCCATCAGCCAACAATAACCCCAGCTACCTTCTTGGCAATTCTTCTAATCTTTTTTCTACTATATACAGGTTTTGGGCTTTAATATATGTATATATTATATATGTATATATAATATATGTATATATATGCTCTCTCTATATATACATATATGTTAACTATAAACAACGTATTATATATTAAATAACCTATTCTATATTACATAAACAACTTATAATATATAATAATATAAAATGTACTCCATCTATTACATGTATGATATATATAATATCATCTATATAATAAACACCCTATCTCATAGGATTGTTGGGAACATTAAATCAGTTAACGTACAAGGGCTGAGAACCAAGGCTGGCATAATGTTAGCTGTTTTTATAAGTGAACCGAATTTAGCAAGGTCTCTAAAATTTTCTCCTTCTTTCCCTGCTCTTCAAGCCCGTAAGTCCTCCCAATGTGTGTTATGATATTAAAATTGATCCCAAACTGGTCTCCCTGCCTTCAGTTCCTTTTCTCTTCAGGGTTTCCTGGACACTGGCCCCAGAGGACAGCTGCATCCGGCCATTTTTTTTAGGTTCTCTGTTGCTTACAGAATGAAGTTCAACGTCTTTAGCTGAGCATGCAAAGGCAATCTCCGTCTAGCTCCCATGTACTTTTCTGACTCTTTCTCTCTGGCTTCCCTGCCCACACCAGCTATTCCCACTCAGGGTCAGCCCCCTGGATTCCTCTTACATGCTTCTGACCCACTTGCCTTGATGTTTATACCTTCTCATGTGCCTGCCTCTGCCCAATCCATGCTCTTTCTCCCACGACCACGCCCCTCTCCTGTAAAGCCTGTCTTGACCACCCCGGTTGGTCCACAGCCATCTCTTCTACCTCTGACCCCAGCACCTCTTGTCTGGACCACTTCTCTGCTGACATTCACTCCCTGTTTCACATTATTAGACATCAGTTCACATGAGTGGGTTTTGTCTCTCTAGCTCCATTACATGTCCTGCGAATGCAAGGTAGGCTTCTTCTGACTTGTTTTTCTTTTTTTTTTTAATTTTTCAATTACAGTTGACATTCAACATTATTGTATATTAGTTTCAGGTATACAGCATAGTAGTTAGACATTTATATAATTTACAAAGTGATCTCCCTAATAACTAACTTGGTTTTCTGGCAGTGCCAAGCACAGTGCCTCATCTTTCGTATATGCTCAATTAATATTTACTAATTGTGAAGATATTGTGCCAGGGTGCTGAAAAACATGCCCTCATGTGTATTAATTTCACTCATTCATTCATTCATTCATCGGTTATTATTGGATTTCTACAGTGGGAATTAGATGATGAATAAGACAGAAATCATCCCTGTCCTCATGGCACTTATGTTCATGCAGGGGAAATGGATTCTCAATATAAACAAATACAGTATTTTGAAGAGTGGTACGGGTCATAAAAGAAATTAGAACCTTCATTCAATGGTCTACATATTTTGCCTGCTCTGTATGCAGGGCCAGTTACATAACTTGTAGAGCCCAGTGTAAAATGGAAATATAGGCCCCTTGTTCAAAATACATACATAAGAATTTCAAGATGGGGACAGCAGAGCATTTAACCCAGCTCAGGGCCCTTCCAGCTCATGCCCATGAAGCCAGCTCCCCTTAAATGGTACTTAGCCCTTATTGGGTACTTTCATAAGATAGAAAATTATCGAAGAAGCAATCTTCATGACATTTGAAATCTAGCCCAGTATATTATTTACAGAAAATAACATAAGCTATGTGGTGGCCCAATATGAGATGCGACATAACGTTTTTTATGCTGTTTTCTGCCTTTCAGACTGCTTGTCCTACTCAGCTTTGCAAGTATTGTCCAGGAGGTGCTATGGGAAGCAGAGATGCAAAATCCTTGTCAACAATCACCATTTTGGAAGTCCCTGTCTGCCAGGAGTGAAAAAATACCTCACTGTCACCTACGCCTGTGGTAAGAATAAACCCTCAACAGGCTGCTCAAAAAACGCCGCCTCCTCGGGAGGCAGTGACCACGTGGACAAAAGGAGTTGCTGCAATAAGTCAAACGGCTCTGCTCCTGAAACTGGTGTCTGACCAGATAGTCAGGAGCCCCTTTTCTATCCGTTATTGTTGTTTATGACATTCACATCAGATAAGCAATAGAATTTTCTTTGGTCGAAATTTGTTTTAAAAGCCCTTTTAGCAATCAGATTGGCAGCACACGGGAAGGGTGCAGGAAAAACAAACAAACGGGGTAAAATTGATGTCACTGAGAATAGTGATTTTAATCTGGGTTCTTAGGAGGCTCTACAATTTACGGGTATGTCATGTAAGTTCACGGAAGTATTGTTTGGCTCCTATTTGTCTTTCCAGTCCTGCTTTTGGGCCCTAAGTGACTGACTGTCTGCGCTGCCAACAGCCATTTCATCTACATACGCAAAGGGTTTAGTCAACAGATCAAATGCTTATCCTCAAACAATGAAATATTACGTGACAGCATTACTTTGTTTTCCTAGTGTCTTCCAATAAGAAACTGAAATATCTGGCTCATTAGATTCCAATTTTCCAAAACTACTTAAAAGGGAATCAACAGTTAATTATTCTCTGAGGGTAAGGTGGATTTCCAGTTTGTAATGCTGACACATGGATCGTTTATTTTATTTTTATTTTCTTGAAATTAGCATGAAAGCAAAGGGAGAGCAAAGAACAGTATAATTGAAGAACCCAATACATGTGCTCATGGAAACCGCTTTTCCCTGCCAGATTTCCCTAGGCTTTCTTTTTTTGGTAACAGATTTATTGAGATATAATTCAGAGATCATACAATTCACTCATTAAGCGTTCAAACAGGTGGTTTTAGTATAGTCACAGAATTGTGCAGTTGTCACCACAGTTAATTTAAGGATACTCTCATGACCCCCAAAAGAAACCCTGCACCCTTTAGCAGTCGTCACCTCCCAGTTCACCCCTCACCCCCACCCCAGGCAACCACCAACCTGCTTTCTGTCTTTAGGATTTGCCTCTTCTGGACGTTTTATATAAATGGAATCGCAGTGGGTGGTTCTCTGCGATGGCTTCTTGACCTAGCATGCGTAGCCTGTGTTAGCTTCTCATTCCTTTTTATGGCCTGCTAACCTCCTGCTGATTCGCTAGCCTTTTATATCCTGAGCTAAAAGTGTCCTCTGCGATATCAAAGCTGTGATAGGTACAATAAAGTGACTACACAAATGTGTCCCCAAAATAGTAGCACCCTAATGTACATTCCAGGAAGCCTGAGTTTATTGCCCTCTCAGTCTTCAATCCGGCCCCCATGCCCAGGCAACAACGGGTTGCATGAGGTTCCCCGTTCTGGCTGAGGTCCCCCCAAGAAGCCACGTGGACCAATCCTAAGCCCTAGTAACCTCAGGCCTCTCCAGCTGAGTGCTGAAGGAGGAGAAGGACTTTAGCCCGTAAATAAGGTGCATTTCCTGGTGTGTCTTCAAGGGCGCAGCGAGAGCCATTTCTAGGCCGTGACTTCTCTGAGTGAAGAAAAGGTGGATTTCAGGGCCTGAGAGTCATGAGTCCCAGTTTAAGCTCCTTCTCCTCCATTCACTCATTCAGCATATTGTGGGCGTGTTCCGTGCATCAGGGGTTGTGCTGGGCACTAAGGATTCAATAGTTTAAAAAAAAAAAAAAAGCATGGTCCTTGTTTCATGGAATTATCAGTTGGGGAAGAGAGCTAGACAATAAATAACCAGGTAAATCTATGATTACCCATTGTGATAAATGATGTTTTGGAAAAGGGCAGGTTACTGTGCAGGAAGATCAGGGTGGAGGGGCCCTAATTTAGCCTGGAGGTGGGGTGGGGGGAGCGGTGGTCTAAGAAATCTTCCAAAGAGAACCTTACCCTGGGGTGAATTTGCAGCTGTGCTCCAAGGGGGTGGGGGGGGGTGTGAGCAGGCAGACAGTGGGCAGAGAGGGCAGGGGCAGCCGTGCAGAGAGGCTGCGTGGGAGAGAGGACTTGGTGAGGAGGAGGATGGCATGAGTTGGCACTGGAGATGCCCAGGACCAGGTCCTGCCGGGTCCTGGGAGGGAGTGCCAGTGGAGCGCTTCCAGTAGGGAAGTCATTCCATCGTAACAGTTGGACTCTTAAAAGACCCCTCTGGCTGGAGGGTGGAGAACAGGTTGGAGTGGGATGGAAGTGGGAGACCAGTTAGCCGTAGTGGGCAACAAGGACTTAGGTGAGAGTGGCGGTAGCAGACATGGTGAAAACCGGATGGATCTGAGATGTGTTCGGAGAGTAGAAACACATTAGAGATGCTGAAGAGACCTGACCTACCGCAAAGACTGGGGTCCAGACAAGGTGAGAGGGGTGGGATTGACCTTTGATAGGAGAGCAGGATGCTCCCTTGTCGGAATAGGGGAAGAGGACGCTGGGAAAGGATGAAAGGAGGACTTGCAGCTCTCCTCACGGCCTCTGTCTTCTCAAAATAAGTGTGAGATGAGGCCATCAGCTGTGGCGACTGCAGGAAGAGGAGTGGAGTTTGAGGAGATGAGAGAGAGGGTGTGAAGTGCCACGGGGGCGGGAGGTTAGGGGTCAGAGTTCTGGGGGGCACAAGTCTGCCCGATGGTGTGGTTCCTTCCAGCAGGGCCCAGCTGCTGCAGAGCAGGCATGGAGGAGAGGGGTCCTCCAGGCTCACTGGGCAAAGGCAAAGGAAGAAGCGAGTTGGGTGTTCCCAAGAGAGCGATCACAGTAGTGGATGGGGGAACCTAAGGGGGAGAAAGAGGGAGGTGCAGACAGGAGGTCAGTGGAGGGGTCTGGACAAGGTTGAAGAATTGCAGAGGGAGGCATTTGAGCGAGTCCACTTGAGGCCGGGAGGCCAGGGTGGTGGTAGTTTGCATCGTGGTTTTGGATGTGGGCCCACAGAAGAAATGGGGGCGTTGAGCGTGTCCTTCCCATCTTCCTGGGACAGTGCCCCCTTGTCCATCAGTGTGGCCCCTAGGAGTTATTCCTAAGGGACTGGGTGATTCTCACTGTGAGGCAAGCTCTGTGTCCTCCCCTCTACCCCTCTACCCTGCACACAGACACCTGCTAAGACACTTCTAATCACCTTCTAAGTAGTTGACATTTTCAAAAAATTCTCCCAACCGATGTGGAACTCGACACGAAGGTTCCAGAGGCTGTCAATAACTAATTTCCACGCGAATCTGTGCTAGGACTCTTTGGATGTGAGTGAGGGAATCAATTTGAGCTGGTTTAAGCCCAAAGTGGGCTGGAATGGGAGGTCGCCTATTGCTAGAAGACCAGCTTCAGAAGCCAGGACAGGAAAGCGAGGCCTCGCCAGAGGCGCCCAGGGGATGGCAGCTGTCTCTCGTGTCACTTCTCTGCTCCTCACGGCACCGCTGCTTCCTTATTCTCGCTCTCCTCTCTTCCCCACTCTCTCCCTCTGCAGACAGCCTTCCCCTGAGCCTGGGCTGGAGGGCATTCAGCCACCCCCACAGCCCTGCGTGATTTTTATGTTACAGTTCTAACAATATGAAGGCTTGCAGTCTGGCAATCTAAATTCCAAATTTCTAACAGAAAGATATTTCATTGACTGGGCTGCAGTCAGGTAGCCCCCTTCCTTTGATCAGCCATAGACAGAGACCATGTGATGTGGTTAGAAACATGGCTACCAGAGAGGGGCCCAGCCAGCCTCCCACCCAAGTCAAGATCCTCTTAGGTAAGGGTCAGACCCCAATAGGCGCCTGTGCCAATACCCTGCTTCTAACCTCTGCATCCAACCAGGCTTTGCTGTGCTACCCAGCAATCTTGCTGTGCCAACCTAGGGGATACCAGGGACAGGTGATGAATGTCAAGCAAGCCCTGCCAAGGGGACCCTCATTTCTACAGAAACCCATGCCACCATCTCCAAAATGACGAGCTGGGCTGAGCTGGGGTCAGGGATGCCTCACCAGGGCTTGTGCTTGTTGTACAGCCAGTCAGAATGTTCTGGAAGGGTGGGTGAGCATCTGTATGCCAGAAGGCCACTGAACCACACTGTGGCTAAACACACGGAGCCGTAAAAAGGAGGAGGCAGTGCTGGTGCCTTCTGGTCTTCATTCATGCCACGCATGTGTATTGAGTGCCAGCTATGCTCCAGGCATCAAGGCGGGGGTAAGGAAGTGTTGATGAGCAATATGGCCCTGCTCTCACAGCCTATAGGACAGAATGTGGTGAATCCCAGGCTCTGGAGGACTCATGGGACCGGGAGGGCTTCCCAGGGGAGGTGGTACCCTAGGCAAGTGAGATGAAGGCTGTGTAGGAGTCAGCACAATGAAGGTGGGGAGGTAGGAAGGGCAGGCAGAAGGACCAGCACGTGCAAAGGCTGGGAGGTGAGACCCAAGTGGGCCTGGAGGGGCCTTGGGGGATGGGCAGTTAAAGCTTGGCTTGTACCTAGCTAGGGCCATGCGGAGCCAATGAAGGATTTTCTCAGGGGATGTAATCAATTTGCATTTTACAAAGAGCGCTCCTCCCTATTTTATAGAGCTGCATTTAATCATGGCTCTCTAATCAAAGCTCTCAGCTTCTATGCTGGGTGGAGAATGTCAGCATCTTTGTGTACCCTCGGGAATGGTTCAGGCTTTGTGGCCTTTTGCTTTCTAACTGTAGGCAAGTCTGGCTGATGTCAAACCGCTCAGAGGTTGGCGCACTCTGTCATTGATTGGTCTGGGAAGTGCATCACTCGAGTACTTTGCTTTAATGCACAGCTAAATGAGATCCTCTCCACTTTCCCTCCAAGTTGTACCATTTGGCCGTACTTCTTAGACACGCTGGATTTTAGGCTTTCCTCCTAATAAGACAAGAAGACTTAGAACTCGGCCAGCTCTCTCTCTCACCTCTGCTGGGAGGGCTCCTCTCCTACTCACAACCACAGTCCAGGAGGGCCACCAAGACAGAGGCACAGCCAGCATCCGGGCCCTGACAACCGCCTGGGACCCGCGCAGCTCCTCCCAGGAGATGAGGCAGGCAGAGAGTGCCAGAATTTGGGGACAGGTGGGGTGGGGGTGCCAGGATTCAGAGGTGCCCGTGGGCACCTGTGGAGAGGGAGGAACAGTTAAGCAGAGGCCATTTTTGTCTCTGCTGTGAAGAAGTCTTTTGGGCCCTAAGTTCAGCTTTAGTGGAGGCGTCTTTCTTCAAGTCTGTGCTGACCCAAGCTTGACGCAGAAGTTTTATTCAGGAATTTAAAAAAAAAAAAAAAGAAGAAGAAGAAATTTAAGGTTGGGGGGCGCTGCCCAAACTTAGAGACCATTCAAGTCCATTATAATCATTATCGCCCATTTCATCTACACAGACTCGAGAGGGGCTGCCTGAGTGGGAATCACTTTGCTATCTTTACAATCCTCGAAAATAATCCTTTATCCAGTTCCCAAAGGCTGAACGCCCCACGGACGGTACGGCATCATGGGAAGATCAAGGGCATGTGTGAGAGAGACCAGGTTTTTTTGTTTGTTTTTTTGTTTTGTTTTGTTTTTTTAAGCTAACCATCCTGCTACCTGTTGGCAGCCCAGCAGCTGCTCAGCTTGGGCTGGGACTCAAACTGCTGTTGCTCAGAGCTCACACTCTTGAGCGAGCTCTTAACCAACTGAGCCACTCGGCCGGCCCCGAGAGACCAGTTTTGTCTCAGAGGTGAATGGCACACCCCTGAGCCTCAGTTTCCCCATCTGCAGGAATGGGAATGTTACACATGTTTTCACAGGGGACCTATGAGGATGGTGCAAGATGCACTGTTTAAACACCAAGCCCAGGGCCCTAACTATGGAGTTAGAAGCTCCATAAAGAGGGGTTTGCTAGTGTTTTCACAAGTGTATCTAAAGTGGAGAGGGGCAGGTTTAAGGAGTGGCAATAAATCACACCCCAGGCCTCATCCTCATTCTTTTTTTTAAAATTTTTTTTAAAGATTTTTATTGGGGAATTGGGGGGATGGGAACAGTGCTGGGGAATTGGGGGAAGGGGAACAGACAAGTTGCTGTCATTTTGTTTT